TCTTAAGGCATTTATTATGGACATGGATGGGGTGAGGAGTGGATGTTTTCTTTTGTGCTTTAACCCACAGCTGATTGGAGCAGCTCAAGACCTAAATGAAGACCCTATGCAGGGATGTGAGATGAAAACAGGGGTTTGTCCTGCAGTTCCAACGTGACCCAAAGCAAGACTCTCTGCGCATACCGGAAGGGGGCGCCCTGAGAAACCGTGGTCTACAGAACAGCTCAGCATCTGGCTGTGGAGTGGGCACCCGCAGAGGGCACGAGCCAAGGGTCAGCGTGCAGCCCCAGCAAGGGAAGCTCTGAAGCAGGACAAGAATCTCAGAAAAGGAAAAGGAAGCAGGCAAAGCCAAAGCAGAAGAGGTGACAGACGCCATCACGCTGCTGGGATGGCATCGCCGTTGTCTGCCCATTTTACCCACAGCTGGGAGGACACCTGCCAAGGCGGCATCAGCCACATATACAAATGGTATATGGGGTATACTGGTCTAGACACAGTATATTGCTTAAATTAATTTCCCCTCTCTGTTTTTATTTTTTATATATATTTTTAAAGTTTTTTATTTAAATTCAATGAGCCAGCATATCATTAGTTTCAGATGTAGCGTTCAGTAATTTATCAGTTGCGCATAACACCCAGTTTGTTTTTATTTCTTTTAATGTGGCTGCTAGAAAATCCAAAATTACATATATGGCTCACATTATGTTTCTTTTGGGTGGTGCTGTTCTAACGCCCCATGAGGCCATTTTGTCTGGGAGATTTTTTAATAAACCCCCAATCACTGCAATCAACTAGAACAATCTTCAAATGTCCCAAACAACAAACCAGCCAATTAATACATCAGCTAGAAGTGCCCTCAAAACAGAATTGACTCAGATTTCCACACAGCAGGAGTGATAGTTGGACAAGACAGACATTTAGGTTTCAGTTCTGTTCCCTCCTCATGACCAAGCCCTCTACACCGGCTCACCCAGGTCCTGCATGAGCCAGCGGCCCGGGTGAGGGGGCACTGGCTTCCAAAAAGGATCCTTCAGGGGCATTTGCATGGCTCAGTCAGTTAAGCCTCTGCCTTAGGCTCAGGTCATAATCCCAGGGTCCTGGGATCAAGCCTGGCATCAGGGCTCAGCAGGGAACCCTTCTTCTCCCTCTCCTTCTGCCTGCTGCTCCCCCTGCTTGTGTTCTCTCTCTCCACCAAATAAATAAATACAAAATCTAAAAAAAAAAAAAAAAAAAAGGAAAGAAAAGAAAGGAATCTTCATACATATAAGACAGAAACTCCTTCAAGGGCTCACTCTTCTAAGTTTTGGAGCAGTACAATGGTTTTCCATTGTTTCACTGATCTGTAACTGCTAACCAGAGATGTAAAAGTCCATTTCCAATAGATAAACCAGCTTGAGAAGCCAGGGTGTTGCCCTTAAGTTTCTGTTCAACAAACTGACTAGAATCATCCTCTAGAATCACGGACTTTCAGGGTGGAAGAGACTCACAGGCCATCTTGTCCAATACCTGATAAGTGAGCTGCCTTTACTGCATTTCTCCTTCTCTGTTTCTACAGACCCCTTTTGCTTGCCCACCACCAAGGAAGCTACCATTCTAATCCCAGATTGACAGATTTTTAAATCTCCCACCACTGACCCTAGATTCTTCTTCCAAATGAGCAAACCTTTCAATCATGTGAAGACAATAACACTTATTCAAATCTTTTTCATATTGAATAACCTTTTTGTTTGTCTTGGTCCTTGCTAGAAAAAAAAAATAGGGTTTGGTCTTTTATCCTTTTTGACTGCTATCTTTGGAACCTGCATTCTCAATGTCTTTGCTTAAAGTCTGGGGCTCAAACCTAAAAAATCTCCACCATGCTTGATCCGAGCAACATGTCAGAAGTGGTGTTATTCCTCCCTCATTCTGTACACTGTAATTCCATAGAAACAACCATATGGTCATGACTACCCCCGCCAACTTTCTTGAGACCTGATTTCTTTTATCACTACAACCTTACCCCTTCCAGCTTTTAGAAAACCACAAATTTAAATAGATTTCGATGTGATATCACCTCACACCTGTTAGAATGACTATTATCAAAAAGACAAGAAATATCAAGTCTTGGTGAGGATGTGGAAAAAAGGGAACCCTCTTGCACTGTTGGTGGGAATGTAAATTGGTGCAGCCACTCTGGAAAACAGCACGGAGGTTCCTCAAAAAGTTAAAACTAGAACTGCCCTATGATCCCATAATCCTACTTCTGGGTATTTACCTAACAACCATACATCTCTAGGACCTGTTTATTTTAAAACTGGAAGTTTTAAAATACATACCAACATACCAACATATGACTATACATACATACCAACATATGACTATAGTTAATAGTACTGTATTATACGGTGGGGGCTAAGGGTAGCCCACCCCAGAAATGTGCCTCTTTGGCATATTTTGAATTAAAGTTACTTAAGAAAGAGCCAGCACATTACCCAAAGAATACAAAAATACAGATTTGAAGGGGTACATGGTCCCCAATGTTTATAATAGCCTTATTAACAATAACCAAACTATGGAGAGAGCTCAAATGTCCACCAACTAATGAATGGATAAAGATGTGAGATATATATACACATATATATACACACACCCATATATATACACACATATATACATATATATCATATATATGCATATATAAAAAATCTCATTTATATGCATATATAATGGAATATTACTCGGCCATCAAAAAGAATGAAATCCTGCCACTTGCAACAATGTGGGTGGAGCTAGAGTGTATTATGCTAAGTAAAATAAGTCAGAGAAAGTCAAATATCATATGATCTCACTTATTTGTAGAGTTTAGGAAGGAAAACAGGAAAATACAGGACGGCGGGGGGGAAAAGAGAGAGGGAGGCAAGGCATAAGAGACTCTTAACCATAGGTAACAAACTGAGGGTTGATGGAGGGAAGGTGGGTGGGGGATGGGCATTAAGGAGGGCACTTGTGATGAGCACTGTGTGTTGTACAGAAGTGATGAATCACTGATTTCCACTCCAGAAACCAATATTGCACTGTAAGTTAATTAAGTAAAATTTAAATTAAGAAAGAAGAAAAGAAAGAGGCTGCTTAAGAGCAACATCCTGACCCTCCCTCCACCCTTTGTCTCCAGAAAGCAGGAACTAAACCTCCCACATGAGAGCTACCCTCCCTGTATCAGGAGATTAAGGGACCTCCTCACCAGAGGTAGGAAATTCAAAGGTGAGAAGAAGGTAGAAACAAACCTCGGTACTTTTACTTAATCATTACCCCTGCCCAAATCCTGTTTAGAATTTCTTAGTAATTGAGGCTCCCAAACATAAGTTTTCTTTGTCCTGTCAATTTCTCACAGATTTATGTCTCTTTTTCTAAAATGTATACAAGCCGGATGCTACCATCCAGCTTTGGGTTGTACTTTCAATATTGGTTCTCTGCACACACATAATTAAACTTTGGGTTTTTTCCCTCCTGTTAATTCATCTCATGCCGATTGAATTCTTAGACCAGCCAGAAGAACATTAAAAAGAAGAGGTAAATTTTTTCCTCTCTGACAGTATATTGAAAATTGCTTTAAAAAGCAGTTCTTTGTTATTACTATTATTATTGTTGTTATTACATTCAAGAAAGCGTTCTTAAATGTTCTCGTCACACATACAAAAAATTCTTGTCACAAGAAAAATAAAGTTGCTAAATTCTAATCAGATTTGTGGTGGTCATCATTTTGCAATATCTACAGATAGCAGGTCATGTTGTATGTACACTTGGAACTAATACAACATTATATGCCAATTATACCTAACTTAAAAATAAATCTTAAATAAGAGGTTATTTTCCTGTGGTTTAAAAAAAGCATTCTAAGTCTACGAAGTTTTGTATATCAACTTCTAAAGCAAGCAACTGCAGTGGTTCACAGCTCTGGCTGTCCCTGAGAATTACCTGGAGACAGAACAAATACCTAAGATGAGGTCCATCCCAGAAGTCAGGCCCTGTGGGAAATGGGGCCTGGCCTTATGTATTTTTAAAAGCTCCAGGTGAAAGTAGTATGCATCCAGGGTGGAGCCGCTAATCTCGAGAAACCATGAATCTTATGGTCATACGGATTCAAGTTACTTTTCGCTTGAACTGTGAATCTCAATTTTTATTTTTGAATTGAACTAGCAGGACTGAATTGGTCCACTATAAACAACTTGAGATCATCCAAATCATTTAGAACTTGGGCCAAAGGGAAGGTGCAGTTAACTTAGTAATGACTGAGATCCAACCGAAATCAAAAAAGCCTAAGGCTTAGGAGACCTGGTTTGTATCATTGGTATGATCCTCACTAGCTGGGCAGCTTGAGGCCATCACGTTGATCCCATGGAAGTTTCTTTGTCTATAAAATGAAGGCACTGGTCTAGAAACCTTTAAGGTGCTCTAAATTTCTGACTTAATTCCAGGAAAAGAACTTGCAAATAAAAAGTTTTAAAGTTGTACACTGCTCCCATTTTGAAAGCACATGCATTTAGCTATTGGAGCTTTGACAGGAGCCAAAGTATTATTAAAATGTTCAAACTGCCATTCAAATGTACTTTTTAATATTTATTCCTGATTGTACGTGACATCACACTTAAAGGAGAATTGGGTTTAGTCTTTCATTGGCACACCCGGCTTTCCCTCAATCCTTTGCCCGGTCTCAAGGCTACAGCATGTATCTGAAAAGGGTCTGTGGGACCCAAAAGGCAGTTTGGCATGTCAGCAAAATTGAATCAGAGGGTCGAGCTCTACCTCAGCTCTGCTAATCCCTATGCCTCAGTTTCCTCATCTGTAAATGGACATGAGTGACATCTGTGAACAGAACTGTTACAAAGATTTTTTAAATTAACATTTAAAACTGTAAAGAGCTTTGAAATGTTAACTTTTTTAAACTAGTTTTTAAAGCAGTTCATTCAGTGTTGGCCATGCAATGTTCACCCATGAGAACAGAAGTTAAGAGACACACATACCTGGGATCCTATTGAGCGTCACCCAGAAATGCTCATCAGGGCTATAAGTGTCCTTGGACCAGGAGAGCAAGTCAAGCGCACGCTGGTCTTGGAGGACAAAGTTGGCAAATTCCCTTGTGAGGGCCACATAGGCAGTACCAAAGTAAATGGTCATGTTGTGAGGAGGTGGAGTTTTTAATTTTGTTGTTTTAAGCACGTAGGAATTTTTTTTTCTTAATAGCTCCTGGTGGACATATTTAGTCCGTCCAATGGCGTGAGCTGGGGGCAGCACCCCCGGGGTGATGTTTTTCCCTTTAAAGCCTTTCAGATACCGAATGATCTCCTTGTTGGTCTTCAGGGGAAAGTCTTGCCCACACGTGTTGATGGCGTACTTCCAGGGCACCTCGGACACCACGAGGTCTTTGAGGCAGTTCAGGTCAGCCTGGAGCCTGGAGATCCCCCCATAGACAACCGGCTCCATCTTGGAGGCCAGGAAAGTATTTGGGAAGCAGCTCAGTAATCGCTTCACTGAATCTTTAAATGTATCTGTTGCCTTCTCATCCATGTGAACACAGTAGACATTTTGGGGCATGTAAATTGCCCTGAAGAGTCTCTCAAAAGTGCCAAAGTCTTTGTGGATGGTCACCGTATAAGCCAAAGGGAACTCTGCTTCCTCTTCTGATAGTGTTTCTGTTATATAGTGACTTTGAGCCATGTACTCATAACAGGTAGATTTGCTGAGGGTAGTTTTCAGTGCATTCTCTCTTGGGTAAAAAACCTTCCCCTTAAAAATCTGATGACAGACTTGTGCTAACAGTGAAGCATTGGACAGAGATGCCTTCAGAAAATGCTTCTCCTCCCATAATTCGTTATTGTAAACAAATACAAAAATCAGGGCAGTGATAAGAGACACAGTAAAAAGACAATGCTTCCACGAGACCATCATTCAAGACCAGAAAGTGAGGGAAATGTTTTTCAAGAGCTGATCAGAGTATAGATATATTTAACTTACATTTTCTCCAGAATCCATAAATCATCCTCTCGGTAGACACAATTCTGATCAGCTGCTCCGTGCCCTTCCAGTTGACCGTTTTGTCCTTTCGCTGTCTTCCTTCCCTTCTCATTCTCCGCTGTGTTTCATTTCCACCTTTCTTCGACACATTTCTGAAGTAGCTTCTTTGGATTTGCTTTGCTCCGGCTCCCGTTAACCTGCAACCTGTTACCACACAAAAACAAGCTGCCTCAGGGAGATTCCGATTCTAACGCAGCCACCTATCACTACCGTAAAATCACCAAGGGCTGAGTTCACCATTCTGCAAGTCATCCCCCTACGACTTCTACCCCAGCCTCTTCTCCCAGCCAAGGGTTGGCAACTGTGTCTGCTCCCCAACTTCCTGTTAATCATTGCGTTCAACTGACTGGCTTTGTTTGCTTAAACAGCACTGCCAATTTTTAAAGCTTCAGTTCTAAGCATGTGAACACTGCCTGGAGAGATATTCTGTCAATAAATATTTAGTGCTTAAAAATTAATCTCGTAACCTGTCTTTTTCCACACATACTCACCCTCCTTCCTGTATTGGCTGAGTATGTTGTAAAGCAAGGCATATGACTGGCTGTGGAGCCAAATTCCTTCCAAGGCTTAATTTTCCCTGCTGCTGGGTGATGTCCTTAAAAAGGCACATTTGCAAACTTACCTCACCACCTAACTTATTACACAAAGTGACCGGGGCACTTGATGAATAAAGGCTAATTAAAAAAAACAAAAACAAAAACAAAAAATCCCAAAAAACCCCAAACAGCTGTCCTTACCCAAAAATTGTGTAAAGGCTAGAGCTGTAAAGGCCAAGCTGATTTCACCCTAGCCCCAGCTGGGTATCTGGAGAGGTATGAGAGAGGAGCTGTCTCAGTCTGGGAAGTTCCAGAAACTCAAGGAGAGAGGTACCACAAATGTACCCTTTCAAAAAAGGTTACCCTTTCAAAGGAGTTTCCCCTATATAAAAAGCGAAAATAATTTTACCGCCTTCCTAGGTCAGTCATGAAAATAAAACAAGATAAAATGTGTAAGAGTTCATGGCCATGGCCAACCACAAGAAGGGCTGAGAGAGAAGAGTGAACAAAAGCCCCTCCCCCACCATGTGTCAAGGAAAGGACACAATCACCACCTCTCCTTTGAAGCCTTTTTACACTTCCCTATTCTCTCTTCCATGAGCCCATGCCAGTTAGATGATATATCAAAGATAGCATGGATCAGTTTTACTTTATTTGGTGGTTGGCTGCATGTGGGTGTGAACATCCGCCATCCACACTTGAAAGAGTGGTGCGTTAGCACTGAGTTCACACATCCCTCATCCGTTTTTAGCTCCCAGCCCTGTCTGCACATGCTAGACAATCAAATATGTATTGATCGAGTGCTCTAGTTTTCATTTCCCTGTTTCCCTGATCACATTAGTGTGAGATTCCAAGTACTGAGGACTTCGAATCTTTATTTGTGTCTGTGGATGTGGGTACATTCAACATACCTATTTTTCCAATACGTCTTAGTTATAAAGACAACATAATATTACAGACTGTTTGGAAACACAGTGTTTTCAACTCTGGTAGTAAATAGACTACTTGCCCATAGACATTCACGTTTTGATTTTTACAAAGAACACAGGGGATATGCAAGTTTGCATCCTGTGTTTTGCATTTAATATCACAGCCTCTCATTTCCATGACGCTATGCAGTCTTCATTGGGCTTTGTCTTCACAATCATTACCTTAGAACACAAGACCGGAGTTGTTTTTCCCACCCCAGCTGAAAGTTTTATGTTTCGATGAGGGGATCTTTGAGAACACAGAAAATGATGCTTAGAATGGACCCAGGGAAATTCTCCAGAACTAGGTGAGTCAATCTTACTTGTTTCTGGAATTCGATTTTATAGCATGATTCAGATGCATCATCTTGTCTATATGACCCAAAATAGAATTCAAACAACCCAAATACCTGTTTACACAACCATCTCTCATGCGTGTACCTAGAATTCTTTAGAACAAATCATTTCTTCAATAGAGTAGTCATCCAAGAATAGTCTTTTCTGAAATGATGAGTAAAATTTCTCTCACTTAAAAAAAAATTGTTTATTTCCCTCTAGGCAGCCATTGTCCACATCAAATGAAAGGCACCAGGGATGATTAAATGAAGCCATCGATACCTAATTATGCTTACCGAAACTAGTCCAATTTTTACAGCTTCTTCTCCTAACATATCCAGATAACTTCCTCTGTTTATTTTGGCTATCACCTTTATTCCTGGCACAGTCCCATCTTTCCAGACATTTCATGTGGAAATGCATCTCCAACAGTTTCCTGGCTCTTCTCTAAACCTACAGTTCCCTGAATGTACAGTCATGGGGCAAAGAACATTTAAGGTTAGTCCTTCGCTGCAGTGGAGTCCTTAATTGTACCTCACCTGAACCGTTCCAAGGGTCGTCCGATGGTAAGCTCTAGAAACTTCCACAGTTATTTAAAATAAATTCTTCAACAATGCTAAACATTTTAAATTTTATTTCTTTTAAAGATTTGATTTATTTGTCAGAGAGAGAGAGTGCACACAAGTAAGAGGAGTGGCAGAGGGGGAGGGAGAAGCAGGCTCACCAATGAGCAGGGAGCCCAACAGGACCCTAGGATCATGACCTCAGCTGAAGGCAGCTGGGCCACCCAGACACCCCTCAACAATGCTATTTTAAAGAATTAGTACCAATCTGCCCCTCCTCCATCTACCTAGTCTATTTGATGCCTACCTTCTTGGTTCTCATGTAAGAAATATGGGAAATGCTCGTTCTGATCCTCCTGGCTTTCCCGAGGCCCTGTGTGGCATTTCACTAATTATCCTCCTAAATCCTGAGCTCTGGGCTCTTGCATTTGTGTGAAGTAATAGAAGGGGATGGTAATGGGTGACCATAAAGAACAGTGCGATTCTTCACCCCAGCTGGAGCCTTAGATCAAAATTAATACCCACAATTCTAAGTTGGAGGCCGTGATCAGGCAGGATGGAGTGCTGAAGAAACTGGGAACCCGTTCAGACTTGTGGCTTGGTCCTTCCATAAATAGCAGGGTGTAAATTTATGTCCTAGCATTCACCCTGTGCTTGCCTACTAGTATTTTTTTCAGTTTATTTATCTATTTATTTATCTATCTCTCCCTCTGCTTATTGACGTACTCACTATTGTTAAATTCACTGTCTTATCCTTATCAATGCTTTTAATAACCACAGGAAGCAACAGGGTTTCAAATAGATGAGAAGAGCCCTGGGTTGGGCGTCAGAAATGTTCCAGTTGGACCAATGCCACTGTGGACAGCTGGATCTCAGCCATCCACAAGACATTGGATCTCACCCCTCACAGCTCCCTTTTGGGTAAATTTGAGGAAACACCCCTTGCAGTTACCCCGGGGTCTCCAACCCCCAGTGGCTGCTTCCTTCCTTGGCAGGTCATCCACACCTCTGAGTCTCGGGTTTTCAATTCCCTCTGGGTGCCGTCATCAGTCTCCTGGTGGAGCTGGGAGGATTCCGGCAGGAGTCCAGCAACCAGCTCAGGGCTGGCCAGAGACGTCAGACCTTGAGGGAAAGGCTTGGGAAAGCACAGATCACAGGAAGAACATGGGGAGGATTGCAGGAGTTTAACACAGGATAACTGGACGCAGGAGAGTGTGGAAATGCGTGGAAAGGCTGGTTCTTTGCAAGCAGTAGGTTTAATAGCATTGGAACGAGGCAGAGCTGAGGAAAAGAGCTGAAGGATGAACCATCTCAGCGGCATTAAATCAAGTCTGTGGCACTGAAGCACTTCCCAGCTCCTTTGCATATGAAGGGATAACTGGTCACCCTCACTATAAAAGCCACACACTAAGGGAGTCTGAGCCCGGACCTCCGATGCTTGGACAGTCTAACCTCCCAGTTCAGAAAATCCTCATGTGTGAGATTTGGCTAGATTTTCAAGGTTGGGTGTCAGGGGATAAACAGCAGGGGTTCAGCTTGGCCTGTTCGGCTTTCTAGATTTTTATTCTTCCCTTTCTCCATTCTGTTCCTCAAGAAGTCCTTGATTTGATTTGGAAGTTTTAGGACCTTAAGATCACTGCTGAAGCAAGTGTTCCTACCACAGGAGAGACCTCGAGCTTCTGATCCTGGAGAATAACGTGCTCAAAGAACAGAGTCTCCCTTCTTCCAATTGCAACAGGCTGTTCAATCAGAACAGACTGCAAAGAAGGGATCCCCTAATCTGTAAGGTCCCCAGGTGCTGGAATTGCAATGTCCCCATTTTTTCCTCTCAGAGCCCACAGTCTACCGAAACTCTTGGATACCTACTGCCTATTTGGCCAATTCACCCCTGGATGGTGGGGGGCGGGGACCCGCTTTACAAGAGGTGACTACCAAAGGCCCTGCAGAGTGCAAGATGGCATCACTCATGTCAAGTAGTGATATAATCAGGAAAGTAACCAAAGGCTCTGCCTGGTTGATCACTGAACATGACAGAGACCATTCACGGCTTGAACATAACTCATGCGCTCGCAAACTGACTTCGCCTTTGGTTCATGACTTTCTTAATCCTTATTGTATCTTTCTTCCGTGATTTTGTATTGTGCTTTGTTTTGGGTGCCATGCTTGAAGCCAAGTTAAATGCTCCATGAAACACCATTGAATCTGGAATCCTGAACCTGCGTTACAGCTGTGTTTACCTGGCTTTATGACTGCATAAAGCTGACCTTGTGGAAAGATACAACCCCATGACCCGCTCTCAGAGCGGGCTCGAGATAGGCCCAGATTGAAAAAAATAGGGAAACCAGAAAAGTAGCTCTGTGTTTGGCAAAACCTGATTTTAAGTCATCGATGTGTCTTTAGTTCTGGGAGATGGATTTTCACATCAATCACTTGCAAACCTCCCTCATTGCTTTTCTAGTTGGTCCAGTTTTACCTATTCTCAACAGGAATGTTGTGGGGACTCGTGAAATAAAAGTATGTTTTAACCCACTATACAGTGCCAAGTACTTTGTTAAATTCTGGAAACTTTTTCCCTTTGCCTGAAGGAAACTGAACTACATAATGTCAACCATTAAATTAGAAATGAACATTGTCCTTCAATAAAAGCTTAGTTGTAATTAAATATATATGGCTACTAATGATTTAACAAGACAAATGCGAGAAATCACAGTTCCCAGCAAGTCCATGGCCTAAGGAGAGCCCCCACTGCCCTGAACTGTTCTTTGAAAAACTTTGAGAAATGGAAATCCCGTGTACCTTGATCGAATGATTCACTCACTCATTCAACAAGCATTTTTTGTGTGCTTACTTTATGCCAGGCACTGTGCTAGGTTCTGGAAATAGAAAACAAAGGCGGGCTACATGAACTGAATCCTACTGGGTTGGGTACTGCTTGGGATTAAACAGAGGTAAGTGCTGTCCTACTGGGTTGGGTACTGCTTGGGATTAAACAGAGGTAAGTGCTGTGCCCCTCTTCCTCCAATCTCCCCTCTTCTGTCTCTGTATCTCTCTGTCTCTCTCATTCCTAGAAGGATGAAGTTGCCCAGATGAATCCCACAGCATATCCCTCCTTCTCTTTAAGGTAAAGGCAGGTTAACCAAATTAACCTTAATGTTTAGACGCAGGATAACAAAAGCTGGAATGTGGACACACAA